CTCATACCTAACACCCTTAACCACAAATGCTGCTCCTTCTGCATAATGCCTGTGCAATTTCAAAAAGTGTACATAGGGCCAGGGATTTAGCTTAGTGGTTCCGCTGCCTGCCTTGCAAGCACAAGGACCTGAGTTCGACCCCTGGTACCTAAAAATAAATAATAAAAAGTGTACATAACTGGATGTGTATCATTTGTATTAGGCCAACTCATCCCTTTCTTGGTATCCAAAGCAGGCTCTCAAACACTTTCTATCTCCGTGTATCTTCCTTACCGTAACCTTTGCTTTGACATCACTAAGTTTTATCTAAAAAACACCACTTACTCTACCGTGGTTTGTCATTGTATCTGTGATTAGAGATGCTGCCCTCCGTGCTGGGGAAATGTTTAGGTTAACCTGTGCCGGCTAGCCCTCAAGTTTTGGGATTTATACTCCATACAACAAAGGGCACCGACAAAAAAAATACTGGTAACATTTCTGAGATGTTCCAAGGACCGCCGTCGCTATAATTACCCGTTGAAATTCAACTTGAGAAGCAATCCAAGTGTTACTTCGGTCCACCTGGAAAAGCAGGTTGGGCTCAGAAACAGCGTGGTAACAGGGCCCCGGATTTAGCTCAGTGGTTCCGCCGCCTGCTTTGCAAGCGCAAGGACTCGAGTTCGATCCCCTGTACCAAAAAAAAAAAAAAAAAAAAAAAAAAGGAACGTGGAAACAAAGAGGCCATGGTATTGCCTCGTCTCCTGTGGATCAAATTGGGCCAAGAAGGACTTTGAAATCCGGGCCCAGTGTTTTCCCTGGGGCCGCCTTCTCAGGTCTCAAGCACAGGGGCACAGGGCCACTAACGTGGAAGTCGCCTCCCTCCAAGGCACCCATCGGCAGTATCCTGGTACTGAAGCCAGAAACACCGAGAGCACGGGTCCGTTCGTGGAAGGCCGTCTTGAAGCACGACAGTCACAGGCCTTAATCCACTGTGGAAGCGCGCGTCCCACACCCCCAATCGCAGCATAGAGCATGCGCAGGAGGTAACGGAGCGCAAACCGGCGTAGGCTCTGGGTCGTATTGAGGGCGGGACCGCGCGCCTGCGCACGCGCGTCAGGACACATAAGCGGAAGTGGCGCGAGGCCGCCGGCAATGCGAGCACCTTCCTGCCTAGCTACCGCCGCTGTGGGAATTGCAGGAGTTAAGAAAGGAAGAAGAAGCAGAAGAAGAGGAGGTGATGGAGACGGAGCTGGGGAGGGGGAGACGCACGGTCTGGCTGTGCCACCCGGGGTAGGGTCACTCTTCCAGGTGACACACCGACAATGGGGTGGGCGTGCTGTCGGCATCTTTCCCGTGTTAAGGATCCTAAGATGCTTGACACTGTCCGTCTCCCTCATCCAGAGCCTTTGAGGCCAGGATGGCAGGAGTGAGTGACTTCCTTTTTTAAGGAACAGAAACCGCCTATCACGGTCTCCAGGGTAGAGCACCTGCTTCTTATCTCCTTCAGGCCCCCATCTGTGGAGTCAGTGGACGAGGCCAGGTTCGGGGGTCATTAAGGTTGTCCTAGCTGTTGTGGCGAACTGTTACTGTCCCGGGTTCCCCACGATGGCATTTACAGTTTAAGAACGACTTCCGGTTTCTATGTTGTTTTAGGGCTTTCCACTGTACTCAGATATCCAGTCGGTTGGCCTTGCCCTGGAAGATGACTGTTCTTGCCAAACTATAAAGTTTGTTACCAGAAGTCTGCAGGTTTCTCCAGTCTTTTTAATTGAATCCTCCTTTATTCCCCCCACCACCTTTTGTTTTGTTTTGTTTTGTTTTTGTTTTGTTTTGTTTTTAGAGGAATATTGAAGATAGGGGGAATGATTTGGTGGGCAACAATTTTTTTAAAAAATATGCATTTGCATTCCTTCTACAGTAGGTTATCAGACATCTGGAATTTTAAACTTTTTAAGTGAATTGAAATAGGTTGGGAGTTGGAAGAGATACATTCAGTATTTGAAAATAATTTGGATGGTGTTATTTAGATTTAATAACTCAATAAGATTGAGCCCTAATTTTAGCTTTTCTCCCTTGGGGGAAAAAAGGAGTAACTTAAAAAAATTAGCCGTTTCTTGAAATTTGTATAATATGTGCAAAAATAAGAGAATTTTGTTTTTCTATTTTATAACCATATTCCAAAGGCCATGATTAACAGAGTGCAATTAATCAAGGCATAACGATAAGATCTTTCTATTTGTAACATTAAATGTGCCAGAATATGAATGGAATCACATTTTTTCAGGTTGGTCTCAGTCTGTCTTTGTGATAGGAATCTTTTAGATTTGTAAAGCCTACATTGAGAAATAAACAAATCACCTTGACTTTATTAGATCATTGTAAGTCAATATTATTACTCAAATTTTTAAATGTTCAATATGTGCTGGAAATTCTGCCCCTAATTCCATTTTAGCTATTATTTGAACCTCATGGAACGAAAGTTAAATACTTGTGTTGTATATAAGAAGAGGCTTCAAGCAGTGGTTCATAGCTGTGGTTTATTTCTACTTTAGCTTCAGAGGTTATCATGAACTTTGTAAGAAAGCAAATTTTTAAATTGCGTGTTTAATTATTTCCCCTACGCCATAACGACTTTCACTGTTTCAGTAATATTTAACATCAGTCATCAGCATTTGAAATGAGAGCTGGCAGACATTAGGGATCAGAGTTTCTCAGTATCAGAGCTCTTCATCAGTCACCCTTTCTGGCCAGTGATGTGGTGATGTGTAATACAAAGCTGCATTCTAAATGTAGAACTTTAAGCAACAGGTTTTGTGGTACTCATCCTTCAGGAAAGTAATGGAAGTGAATTTATTTCCATGTTCATTTCAGATGCTTTGTGGGAAATTCAGAAGAGATGTTGGTATTTTAGCACACGTGTTTAGAAAGCATAGTACTGGAGTGATTTAATGCCATATGTGGCCTAGATCTGCAGTTCATGTGATTATCAGGAGTAGTAATGAATGATGTTAAATTGTGGGAAGGAAGAGAATAGTCTTGATGAAATGGTGTTTTTAAAAATCAGGCTAATGCTATTTTTTCTCCAGCTAGCATTTCTACAATAGGCCATACGAGGGAGAATAACTTAGAAATACTCTATACTCAAATCTTCCAAGTAAAGCAAACAAATGAATAAAATTTTATTTCTACTGACTTGATAATATTTCTTTTGTTGCATAATCATGCCCATTTTGAGAATTCAATTTTAAAACATTTGCTCCTCATAAAACATTCCATTTATTTTTAGTAGATTTTGATGAGCATCATATATCATCATGCTCATAATAAAGAATAACTTTACATTGTTAGCCAGCCCCTAATAACAGCATAATCATTTCAGTTCCTCACTCAGGTCTTTCTGTTAAGTTTTTGTTTTTTATTTTGAAACAGCGTCTCACTGGGTACTTCAGGCTGCCCTTGAACTCACTATGGAGCCCAGGCTGGCCTGAAACTCAAGGCGACCCTCCCATCTCAGCCTCCTGAGTGCTAGGATTACAGGTATGTGCCACCACGCCCAGCTCTGTTAAGTATTTTTGTACTGCCTGTGGTTGCAAATACATTATAATTTGCAATATTAGTTGGCAGTAAAAAATGGTGTTTACAAGAGTACAAAGGAGTACTTCGTTTGACAGCTTATATTTTTATGTGCTAGATCATATGAAGGTGTATTGTCTCTTGCCTTATGGAATTCATATACTTAGAGAAGCAGCACACAATGAAAACAAAAAAAGTTACACCGTTATGATACAGTTATCTAGGGCAGGGACAAGGGGAAAAAATGAGAACCAAGACCTGTCATATAAAGGTACAAGATCCCAATAATGAATGTAACTGTACTATATACCTAAAATTTACGAATAAATTTATTTATATATATACATAAAATGTGCTGTATGTGCTGTGAGAATCTAGGACATTTATCGGTTTCAAACACAATCTTAAATGGTTCAGCATAATCCAGTTTTGTGTTGAACAAGGTAAAAGATGGGTAGAAAAGAGAGGGGAAAAATAATGTTTGAATTTGGACATTTTTAATATGAAAGGCCAATAGTGCTTCACTGAAATCTGAAAGCATTTGGAGAGAAGTCTGGGTTGAAAATCCAGGTCCATATTTCCAACTACATATTAAGGGGTACGTCAGCTTCAGCACACCAGACTAGACCCAGGAACATTTATAAAAGTTGAATAATGATAACTAATTATATGGGCCGATATAGTATACGTTAGACACTTTTACATTTATTTCATATAGTCCCAACAAAAATCCAATGATAGCCTCATTTTTTAAACTCCTTTTCATTAGAGATGCAGAACCTAAACCTCAGAAACGTTCAATAATTTCCACCAAGACTCCTCATCTAGTAATCTTGAATTCAGATCTAAATTTCAAAGCATGGAGAAAGTACCATGCCATACCACTGTCTTATAATATTAGCCATAATTGTAATGAATTATAATATGTTTGGTGTTTTGCTAAGTTACAAATATCGCAGAAAAAAATGATTTTGTAAAAGTGTTGACTTCTGGAGAAATGTTTTAATCCAATCAAGGCAAAAAAGAGATTTCCTAGTTTTATACTATACATGTGTGTAAATACATAATCATTACTTACACTTTTCTCCTGATCTTTGTATTCTGTAAGATTTTCAGTTTTACCCATAAAGTACGCTCACACCATAGTCCATTTCAGAAATCATATCCAAGCAGAGGATGAGTGATTCCAGCAGAAGTTTGAAAATACCCAGAGGAAGTTTCAGTTTGATTCACTGATTATTAGTGCAGGGTATCTGACACATAAAAGGCATAAAGGTTTCAATGCCTGAGTATTATTAGGTCCAAGTTGTATTCAGAACCTTGGCAGATAGTAAGTTACTGAAGAGAGACCAGTTAATTTCTGTTAATCAGACAAATAGAATTTGAGTCTTGCCTTCCAAGTTCTATAGTCTCCCCGCTGGGGAATTTAGGGAAGGTGTCACAGAGGAAGGGACATTAAAGCTTAACTTCAAAATCTGACCCAGAGAAAGAAGACATAAGGCTGAACCAAAAACAAAGGTGTTTGAAAGTTCACAGAATATTCCAAAATGGAACTTGGGAAGAGAGAGAAAAGAAGCTTAGAAACCAGTGTGCTGCTGGGTTTATTTAAATGGTGCTTATACATCGGGAGTTATTGTTAGGGATTTTGTTCCTTCTACAGTCAAAGCACAGATCTCATCAAGTGATTAGAGGAGATAATTTAAAGAATAGTTTCTAAAGAAAGTTGGGACCTACAAGATGGTGGAAAAAGTCTTAGAGGTCACAATGACGGAAATGTAGTGTGGGAAGCAAGAACAAAGGAAAATAATAGAGGAAAAGAAACAGCAAAACTTTGTAAAATTACACATTTTTGTTTAGAAATAAGAAAGATGTTATAAAAATCAAATGTTTTGGGCCGGGGATTTAGCTCAGTGGTTTCGCCACCTGCCTGGCAAGCTAGAGGGCCTGAATTTGATACCCAGTACCAAAAAAAAAAAAAAATGTTTTGTACTTGAATATTGTTAGTTACAAGTTGTATTCAGAGGCTTGACTCCTCATTTGAGTTAGTAACTATGTCCTAGTTAATCTCTGTAAATCAGCAATTTAGAAATGACAACTATAATTCCTACCATTTTACCTTCGTATGACAATTTCTTTTTGAAAGCTTCCTAAGAGCAGCTTTAAAAATTATTGTTATTGCTTCAGCCCTCACAGTCTAAATTTTTTGTTCTTATTGGAATTGTAATAGTGAATCTTTTCTAGAAAAACATTTTTTTTTTGTAAGTATGTTCTGTTCTTTAATTGTTACAATTCTTTAAGCTTTGCATGGAATTCACCTTTTCTGTTTTTATAAATCCAAAGAGAAATTGAGTCATCTGGGGTCCTTCATATTTAAAAAAATAAAATTTTTTCCACAGACTAACAAAATATGACATATTTTCTAGCCTTTTACTTGTCAGAGACTTTTAAAATTAAAATATTTTTTCCAAATGGGGGCAGAATTTTCTTTTAGCCTAAGATGCTGTTGCTAAAGCATACTATCCTTTCTATAGCTCTGAAAAATCTAGTTTCTAAAGCTTAACAACTGTGTGGTTTTATTTTAAAAACCTCACTAGCAAATATTTATTATAATTATTTTAGTATTCACATCACATAGTCTTTACTCTCTACAAGATTGACCTTAATAAATAAACTATTGTGAGCTTTAAAATTACATATTTCTAGATATAAAAGCATATGTCACACTTAGTTCTTTGATGAAATGAATACTGCATTAGCTTTTGGGTTGTTGCTGTGGAAATATGTACATATCCAATTACTGTCTTCATCAGGAAGAGGTAAATTAGAAAGTAGTTACTGTTGATTGTTTGGAAGCTAGAGTAATTTATTAATATATAGACAAAATCCGCTTTTTCTGTATGAGTCTATAGTATAGTTTAGATTATTATTTAGATCATAATAGTTTAAAATCTAAGCATTTTCTCTTAATTGCTTATTTTCTTCTTTAGAACTTGGCTCAGCTAGTGAAGGAAAGACTGAACAAAGAAGAAGAAAGCAACAAAGATAACTTTGGAAGCCCTGAATGCAGCAAAATAAGAACAATGGATCTCAAGTTCAACAACTCCCGGAAATTTATCTCTATCAGTGTGCCATCCAAAACCCAAACAATGTCACCACACATCAAGTCAATTGATGACATTGTAGTACTTGGCATAAATCTCAGCAAATTTAACAAACTTACTCAATTTTTCATATGTGTTGCTGGAGTTTTTTTATTTTACCTAATTTATGGATATTTACAGGTAAAAGATAGTTGTTTGTCATATGTTAATTATTCATAGTATTTAATGTCACTATCAGCACTTCCTACAGGATGCCAGTGTTCATAAATTGGAGTTTTTTATAGAGTGAACATGAGGTTTCTTAAAAGTAAGATTACTGATGGGCTGGGCATTTAGCTCGGTGGTTCTGCTGTCGGCCTCAAGCTCAAGGTCCCAAGTGTGATCCCCAGTACCAAAAAAAAAAAAGTAAGCTTACTGAAAACAAAGATCAAAAATTCACTGTTAAATTTTAAGTGGAGAATAAGTATTTGAGATGATCTTGCAAAATTAATGAAAATGAATGTTTCAATATTTAACATTGCAAATGTGTTATAGTTTAAAAGAAAGAATTATTCAAATATTAACTGGTGTCTGGGAATATACTTTTCCAGTACAATCTAGTGATAGCACAATGTTCTCTTGTGTTTTGGAGTTTAATGTCAAAAGGCCATTCTTACAAAAATATATCAGGATATTTTACGTTTCTCAAAGGGTATCTCTTTAATACTATAATAATCTGAATTACTCTTTTTTTGGTTTGATTCTGTCTATCGTGTTTTCATTCTTACTGGTTTTCTCTTTTAGTCTAGCTTTGTCAGAATCTGTTTTCTCTGGTTTTTGTTTATGCAAAACATTTCCTTTCCTCCCCTCCCCACCCCTTCCCTTCCCTTGGGATCAAACTCAGGACCTTGTGTTTGCCAGGTAGGTGTGATGCCACTGAGCTATATCCCTGGCCCTGTGTCTATTTCCATTGTATATTGTGGTAATTATATAAATTTGGCCCACAGCAAATTCTTGACCTTCAGACTGAATAAAGATAGAGTCTACCATAAACAGGAATATTTGAATGTTGACTAATGTTATTACTGGCCATTTAAATATTTTGAACTATTAGCACTTTTTTATACAATTTCATAAGAGAACCTTTGTAAATTCAAGAAAAGTAAAATGCATTTTCTTAAAACAATATTTCTGATAATTCTGATATTCTGAGAAGTTAGGATGATTTTTAAAACTTTACTCTTTTTTGCATTGCTTTACAGAGATTGAATAATAAATTAAATATAAATAAAGGTGGTAGAATTGCAGCTTTATTTTTAGCTAGCTTATAAGAATGTCAGGTAGAATATTGCATGATTTTAACAAAAACATTTTAAAATAATATTCATAACTTATTTCCCACTAGAAGATAATATAAAATGTACAATATTACAATGAATAACAGACATAGAGATTGAAATTTCCTGTTGAGAAATATTTTTTTCCTTCAGTAAAGGTAGCTGAGGAAAATGAATTAGAAATGTAACCTCTAAATTTCATTAGATATAGTATATTTTTTTGTTTGATTAATAATTAGATATTTTACTTTAAAACTAGGATGTGTGAAGTTTTATTTCAAATTGGATACATTGCTAAACTACTGTTTGTAGCTTTATCACTTTCACTATGTTAAAACTGACATCACTGCTAACTCTTATGTATAATTGCATATGAAAATAGTGCAAAGAAAATGGGGTTTGGTAACGTGATATATACATGCCCACACACACACAAGGCAAAAAGTTTATTTTATTCAATTAAGATTAATCCAGATAACTTTATTAGAATACTTCTTGATAACTTGATTAAAATGACTTAATAATTGATAAGAATATTACTTAATATTGTTTTTAGGCTAATTAACCATTCTCTATGTAAGGAAAAGTTTTATATAATCTATGGTACAAGATTTTTGAAAACTAACATTATTGATATGAACTGATTCTGTTCCTACAGAAAAGTAGGCCTGAGATGTCTGACTTATAGTAAAATATGCTCTTTGTATCAGTTTTTTAATCAGCCACCTTTTTCATCATTTTTAACAAATCTTTCCATTTTGGTCTTTACTTTTTAAATAAGAAAAGCATAGGTAGTGTTGCTTTATGTTCGTGTTGATTTTTATACTTAGGTATCTAGTGTCAGTTCTTTGGGAAGAACTTCTAACCTTTCTAAAGTTAGAAGACACCTTTTGATTTGATTTGTATTGGTGTTGGTGTGGCTTGGTTTCTTTTAAGATGTTTTGTGTATAAGAATTTACTGTGAAAAAGCTGGTCTGCCCCATTGAACTTAACAGTGTTTATGTGTCTTGGCAGGAATTAATATTTTCAATGGAAGGTTTTAAGCCCTATGGCTGGTACCTTACTTTAGTGCAGTTTGCATTTTACTCCATATTTGGCCTAATAGAACTTCAATTTATTCAGGACAAAAGGAGAAGGTATGTCATTTGTTTGGGTTTTTTTGTTGTTGTTGTTGTTAGCTAAGTTCACTAGCATTAGCTACATCTTTAAAAAAATTTTTTTTACCATTCTGAAGATGCATAAAATTTACATTTCCTAATATATCTAATAACCTCTTTATGAGTATAAATCGATAATAATGTTTACTTTATACACTGATAAACATAAGATCTCTAAGTGTGATGTTATAAGAAAAAAGGCTCAACTTCTAGTAAAGTATATGTTCTGAAAACATCAGAAAGTATTCAGATATAAGTATGTTTTTATAAAGTTCACTAAAATAAGTGTGACTATTGAAAGACAGTGCAACTAACATCAAAATGGTGAAATGGAATAATCAGTATCTCTTTTTATAGTGGTTTTTCAACTGTTAAGCTTATGGTTTATAGGATTTAATCCAATGAACATTATCAGGAAATGTCCAGTAGCTGAGTGCTGCATTCATAAACATTAAAGAAATGCATGTCTTTTATTTTTATTAAAACCAAATATATTCATTTGATAATGTCTCTTAAAGTAACAAGCATCTGATAGATTTTTATGGCATAGTATTTGTTTATAAACAGAAAGTGATTAGGAATTTGCACCTAAATTTTTGGTGACTATAACAAGTGTGGTCGTCCTGTGGTTTCTTATCTGAGTGCAGGAGTCCCTGTTAGGAAGCAGGAGGTGAGAGGGGGGAGCAGGCAGGCAAAGCCTCTGCTTTACAGCCACTCCCATTCCTTGTGTTGCAGCTTGAGCTCTGCTTCAGGTCAGATCAGCTGTGGCATTAGGTTCTCATAGGAGAATGAACCCTTCTGTGAACTGCGTTGCTTGTGAGGAATCTAGATTGAGTATTCTTTTGAATCATCGCAAAACAATTCCGTCCTCATCCTTTGTCCCCATGCAAAAATTGTCTTCCAGATGGATCCCTGGTGCCAAAATGCTGGTAACTGCTGCAGGTGTATTGAGTAGTTAAACTATAAGGACTAATAGTGACATTCTATCTTTTCTACAACTGTTTAATCCTTAAAAAAATTTTTTCACAGATTCTTACTTTTCTACATAAAATGGTTTTGAACTTTGAATGAAGGTAATTCTTCAATTTTAATCATTCAAATCTATGACGTAAGATTCTTCCTGGAATAAGGAATCTGTAACACATGTCTCTTCATGGATCTGGTTTCGCTTCTCAAACTTTATTGCCAATACATTATTTGAGCCATTATGTAGAAAATATCATTTTAATACTTTAGAACTACAGCTTATATCCATAGGTGATAAAATAATAAGTAATAAATATATCTGTCAGGAGTAATATATAGGAAGCCTGATGGTTAATTACCAATTATAAACTACTGGGCCTCTGATTGCTGCTAAGAGAAAAGACAAATACTGTCTTGGTTAGGTGATGATGTACTGCCTGTTACATTTCAGAAAAAAACACCTCCCTCTCAGCTACTCAGATGAGGTGGGTAGTGGGCTGTGCTTAGCCTTTTTCCCACATCTGATCACAACATATTTTAAAATGAAATAACTTATGTTTGACTTATAAGAGAAAGAATTTGGAAGAATTGATACACTTAAATGTAATTATGAATCAAAATATATTCTTTATAAGCCATATTAAATTTTTGTTATAATTAAAATATGCCCAATCTCAGGTTTTCTTTTTTTTTTTTTTAATATACACTCATTTCTGAATTTACTTAAGTGGTGTTGCTCTTTAGACTTCTAGTTAGCCCTTTGCATAGTGCCCCCTCTCCCATCTTGTCATAAGTTTAAATAAGTAGCAGTGCATTGGAAAGAAAACAAGATTACATGAATTTTAGTTTCAGCCTGTTTCTTACTAGGCCTATTAAGACCCCTGGAAAGTTTCTGACTTTTCTCTGTTCTGACTTGCTGTGGTTATGTGTGCTGGAGCATATTGTATGTAAACCGTAATAACCTGGTGGTACTTTCTGTTGTTCTCCAAGTATTACCTTGTAACTTTATTAATTTTTTAATAAAGGAGATCCATCAAAAGGGCTTTGAAGGGGTTTTTAAATTATAATTTCCCCATTCTGGGAAAAGTAATAAACAAACAAGATATTAAATAAAAGAGAAACAGTGAAAATCCTGGAGGCAAGCTGATAAAATGCAACTTTCTCATTTTCCCAAGAAAAACAAAGACCTAATGGAGTGCTGAGTTTTACGAAATCACAGCAAGCTGCTCTCAGATGGAATCTTTTGAATTTAGGGCCCCTGAGTTTCAGCCTCATTTTCTTCCTACCTGTACTGTGCTGCTTTTCTAATGATTTCTTGTAGTTCTCTGGACTTTAATTTTTATTTTCTGACCAGCACTGTCTGCAGTTTAGCTTTGACTGTGGTGATGTGTGTTGTCGTCCTTCACTGACAAGGACATTGTGAAAACGTTGATGTGCATCGAAGCCACAGACAGGCAGGACGAGTTATTTCCAGTGGATTTTTGATGTTGACTGCATATATTAGCACTTAAGTGGAAGGTCCTCAAAACTGAAATGTAAATACTGCACTTGAATTTTTCCAGTAGATTTTACCTTATATCTAACTGTATAAAAGATACCCAAGGAATTTTGTTGCTTTAAACACCATTACATATCCCAAAATGAAAATTATGTAAAAGTACACAGTACCATAAGCAGTTAGGTGAATAGTATCTCATTGTGTTCAGCACACCAAAATACAGAATTACTATTTTATAACATTAAATATTAGTCAAAATGAGCATATGCACACACTATGGCTCAAAATTCTAAAGCTGCCAAATAAAGAATCTCCTTAATGAAATCCAGATAGTGCCAGAGTTAAAAGATTTGAGATTATCAAGAGAGAGACAGATGCTTCACCATAAAGTTGATTAGTATAGCATTGTATGCAGAAAAATGATTTGTAAGATCATGATAATAATCATGTGTAGAGTTTTAAAGTCTTATGTACTTTTTCTGGAGAAATTCTGTTAGATTATTCTACTAGAAAGGATAGATGTACTTCCTGATGCTAGATGGAAATATTAGGAGCAATTTAAACATTTAAATTTGGTTTAAAAAGTCAGTTATTAGCTAATTTTTACCATTACTTTAAAACATGATCTCTCTTGCCTACCCTTAGTCAAGATGATTTTTATCTGTAGCTGGAACTGCTGTTAATTCTTTCATCAGCACGTATACCTTCAGTAAGAATCTCAGAAATTCTCTTAATGTATTTTCATATATTCGAGACCTCATTTATGATTGACTAAAGGTAAATGGTTGTTTTCATCAACATTCTTTTGTACAGTGTTGCAACTTTAAGGATAATGATACTTTTACTGATATTTCCAGAAATACTAAGTAAAAATTAGAAAAGGAATTCAGTATTTATCCATTGTAAATACACTATCTTAAAGCATTATAAATCAGGTCCCAAAAGTGAAGATCTTAAAAATTGTCTCTTACAGAATACCAGGAAAAACCTACATGATAATAGCTTTTCTCACTGTGGGTACTATGGGGCTATCAAACACTTCCTTGGGCTACCTGAATTACCCTACCCAAGTCATCTTCAAGTGCTGCAAACTGATTCCTGTTATGATAGGAGGAGTTTTTATCCAAGGTATAGTAATGATATATTTCCATGCTACTTGAAACAAATAGGATATTCTGTGGCATCTAGCATTAGGAAAAACACTAAACATCTACAGTATTTTTAGTCAGCTTTCTAGACATTATAACAATTCTGTTACATAATACTGTAAGGTATTGTAAAAACCTTAATATTTATCTGATGTTCCTCGGTATCAATAATTTGGACTTGGTGGGAAAAAGAAATTAGTATGTTATTTTATTAAGAGTTTTAACACATTTCCACCAGTTCAGATATCACATATTGAAGTGAAGTCCCTCCCTGCAAAGTTCCTTTTTCCAGTTCTCACTCTTCCTTCAGGCCTCTGCACTGCCTACATTGCTCAGTGTACAATTTTTGTATGAAGATACAGCTTAATCTGAGCAAAACTTTTTTTTTTTTTTTAACCCTGCTGGCTTATTTTCTCTTAGAGCTCCAGCTTAGCTATAATCTATGTGGAAATATGAGGAAAGGAAATAAACAGCAACAAGTAATGATAAGTTTTTTTTGTTCTTTATATTAACTGCCTTGAGCAGTGTTTGTGTTCCGATAATCAAGAGGTTTTGTGTCACTAAAGTTCTTCTGCATCCTGATTATATTTTATGCATTAGGTACCTTCCCACAGTAACCTGTTAAAATGAAAGTGTGTATGGCAGTAACTTCACATATCATTTCAAGATAATGATTTACATAGAAAAAAAATTCACCTCGATCCTACTAAAAATCACATTTACACATATCCTTACAAAAAGTAACACTACATTTCATTTATTAAAATGCAGATAGAGTAAAATGAGTTCATTCTTACCTGCTTAAAAGTTATTGTATGTAATAGTTAAGCAGTATTTATATAATCAGAATCATTCCTTAGTTCCTTTGTAAACATATCAGTTATAAGAAAATTAGTAGCTTATTACCCATTAAATGAAAAAAGCATTTATTACTACAAAATTTTTAAATGCTTGTGCATATGTGTTGTTCTTGTCAGTTTCTGCCAAAACAATTATGTACCGAGTAGTGATGTTTTGGTCAGTGATGGATTACACGTAGGACAGTGATCCCCTAAAATAGAACTGCTAGTGACCCTGTATCTCTTACTCTGTGTAGTATCCTCTATGGATTTGCACAGCAACAAAGTCACCTAAAGGCATGTTTCTCCAAATATATTGTCATCATTAAGTGATGCGTGACTATGCATGTCTTGTAACAGATGAAATCTGATCTCATTTCCAGTTCATAAGGCCATATTGGTGCTGGTTGATATTTTATTCTCCAGAAGGTCTTCTATAACTATCTCATGCCTTGATCTAAATGTTCTTACATATTTTTTGGCATAAGATACAAAAAACATATCCCTGATCTACTTGAATGAACACTTAGATCTAACACTGGATTTCACTGTTTGCATGATGAAGCAAATCTTACTTTTGTTTCCTGCAGGAAAGCGGTACAATATTGTAGACGTGACTGCTGCAGTATGTATGAGCCTTGGCCTCATCTGGTTTACTCTTGCTGACAGCACAGTTACACCAAACTTCAACCTGACAGGTAAGCCAGCCATTTATCTTCCTAGATTTTATACACATTTTAGAGTAAGATTTTCTAAATTGCATAAGGATTTTAACTGATGGCATATGTGATCCTCATATCTAAAAGGTTTTTGGAGTTGCTGTACAAGTTCTATTAAAAATACCACAACCTGATCTGGGGATTTAGCTTAGTGGTTCTGGCACCTGCCTCACAAGTGCAAGGTCCTAAGTTCAATCCCCAGTACCAAAAAAAAAAAAATACCACAACCTGAAACATGACATTTTTTTAGTGTCCTTGTACTAAAATGACAGGAGGTTGTCTATTGGAAATCTTTACCAACTAGGCCGGGGATTTAGCTCAGTGGTTCCACCACCTGCCTTGCAAGCGCAAGGACCCAAGTTCCATCCCTGGTTCCAAAAAAAGTCTTTACCACCTACATGATTAACTTTTCATGAGCTGAATTGGAAATATAAAAATGGGTTATAGGACAAATCACGGTAATAATTGGCTGTACTCTCGTTTTTTAAAATAAGCTTTGTAACTTGTTTGTTTAGGAGTACTTTTGAAATACTATATATGACACATAGAGTGTTATTCTCAAACATTGAGAGAATTTTACCAATAAGATTAAATTAGTGTCATCCAGTCTCCTTATCTGAGAGAAATAGTATTAAAAGTATCTATATCTTCAAAGAAACTCTGGGAAAACAATAATAGTAATAATAAGGTAATATCAGCAAATACAAAGCATGATTATTTGTGACAGAAAAAAAACCAAACCATTAGATAATGAAAACATTTCATTTATATCAGCTTCACTGTTCTTCCTGAGATTCCTGTCTTATCAGTTGTCAGTCTTCCTTGCTAATAACCTGGTTGACCTAGCTGAGTTACTGAATTTAAATGTAATCAGTTCTGCCCTCTGGAGCAGCCCTTTAATTTCCACAGGAGTCTAGTAGAACCTCCCACTCTTTCACCTAGAGTGCAAGCATGCACTGCTTGATTTTAGAGAAATTTTACACTGTACTTTCAGCTGTTGCTATTATAGTCTAGAATTTTTAGGAATGCTTCATTCTTACATATCAGACTATTTAAAAAGGATACTTGAAAACAGACAGAAATGACTTAATAAAACAGCAGTGCAGCTTTAGAGAACACACTGGATTTGCAAGGAGAGATAATAGATTCAAATTGTCTTTTTCTTTAAAATATAACCATGATAAATTGCCAGACTCCGTTTAACTTTGCCAGTAAAAACAGACAATAATTAGAAGATGCCTCACATGCTGCTCATTAGGAGATAGAATGAGACAGTGGAATAACAAGTGTGAAGTCACAGCTGCAGAAGGACTGGCAAGGATGGCCGCAGTGAGAAGAGAAGCCCCAGGGGTTCTGAACTCCTCCCTGTTCTGAGATCCATGAGCATATATTTTAGGAGAATGAGAACCCAGCCATACTTGATCATGAAGAATAATAGATAAGCACCTACCTATACTATCATCTTTTGTACTATAATATCTCAAAGTGATATTAAAGCGGTGATTAGAGATATTAATAAAATTTTGAATGTATAAACTATATATCCACACTTACTCAAGTAAATGTTACAATTTTGGTGCTTTCCTGATGTTTCCATTGTTGAGAAGACTTGGAATATTTTTGAAATGCCTTTCAGCAGTTAGGATGTTCCTTTGAAGATCTTCAAAAATCACATGACTTTTTCTTTTGAGGATAGTCATTTGAAACCAGAAAAAGAGCATTCAGAATCAAGTTTGGTGGATAAAAATATATGATTAGGCAATAAATAGATAATAAGAGATAATAAAAAAATCAAGTTGAATAGACATGAAATCTTGAAACTTCTTAATTGACTGAGGATTATACATATGTGGACTTACCCAGTTCTTGGCTCTCTGTGAACATTTAAACATTAAGAAAAAAGAGAAAACTCGATCCCCAGTACCAAAAAATCAAAAGTTCTGTAACAAAGAAAAAGAAAAAAGAGAAAACTTCTGTAAAGCCATCCGGCGCACAGGTGGTTTGCACTTTCTGTGAAGCGCGGTGGCCAGTGAGCAGCCAGCCTCACCTTAGTCACTGTCATGGCCTCTTCTCAGGCCCACAGCACACTGTGTCTTCGCAGGAAAGACTGGTGTTGGTGCCCAGGTTTGTTTATGCAGATTGTGTCTGTTACAGTTATGTGATAACTTAGTATTGTCCAACTAATCAGAAATTAATATAAAAAGAGAATTCTTGAAACAGTTTGGTTGGCAGATGAATAAAATGACTACTGAATTACGTGCCGAAATAAAACAACTAAAAATTGAAGGAACTCATACAAATCTGAAAGTGTTCTGCTCTCCATTTGTTGCAGAAGTTCCTAGGATTTTGGTTCAACTCTAAACAAAAGCAACTTGGAAAACATAGATAATGTGTATTATCAGTATTTATACAGAAGAAAGAGAAAGTGTAGAGTTCTACTCAGTAGCCGAAGAAAGACTTCAGCAGCTATCTGCATGTTTTAAATTGTTTATGGTTTTAAGTTGAACATTCTAGTAATAGAGCTTTTTCATGACTTTCTTCCTGTCCTCTTTTTTTTTTTTCCCCACCTAGCTGACTAGCTAGGAATCCCATTAGATTCTTCTAAGAACTTATTCTCTACTGTTTAATGTAGTATTTTTCTCAAATATATAATGTAGGGTAAAAGTGGAATGATGGTTCAGTTTATGTTAGTTTCTGTTTGTTTTAATATCATCACCTGTGTGCTCATTGCTGCTGGCTGCGGGTAAGAATAGTCAGCATCATGAAACAAATGTGGTTGAAGATCTGCTTTTCTTGTTCAGACCACTTAAATGTTTTATGGTGGGTCAGGAATTTAGCTCAGTGGTTCTGCCACCTGCCTCTCAAGTGCAAGGTCCCAAGTTTGATCCCATGTACCCCCGCAAAAAAAAACATCTTATGGAGCTTGATTATAGTCCATAGGCTTAAATAAGGACACCGTTTCTCTGTGCCTTCTTGAAGGTGTGATGCTTATTTCCCTGGCACTGTGTGCAGATGCCGTCATTGGAAATGTACAAGAGAAAGCTATGAAACTGCATAACGCTTCTAATTCTGAAATGGTAAATACTCTCATGCATTTTCTTCATATCAGACAGACATAAAAATGGTGATGTACCCAATTTTATAAAATAGTTACAGTAGCAAAGACTATCATTATTCTCATTAAAGTAATACATTCAAATGTTATGGGAAGGTAAAAGGACAAACTACCACTTTCATTCCTAATAACTTGCTTGATATTTGATTGATTTTTTTCTTCTTGATTTATAGATTTTTATCTATGAAAATATTTTTGGTTACATCATTTCTTCCTCTCTTTGTATTTGGTGTTATTTCCCATATAGAGCTTTATAATTTTCATGGTGTCCAATTCATCTTTTCCTTCATAGCTTCTGGCTATGTATCATGATTGAAAAAGTCTTTCCTACCTCTGAAGAGTTTGCGGATTTCACCCATACTTATTCCAATCCAAAATTAAGAAAAAAGAAAAAAAAAAGGGTCTTCCATATGGCCACCCATTTGTCCCAGTAACATTTATTGAATAATCCACTCCCAGCTTATTTTAAATGCCTGTTTTATTATATCACATTCTACTGTAGTGTTCGGAATTGAATTCTTTTGAATTTATTTCTGCAACAATACGTATAAGAGCAGCAGTTTTATCACACATCTACCATCTGTTAGGACTAGCCACCACTGTCCTTTTCTTTTTCAGAATATTACTACCAGTAGTTATTCTTGGTGCTCATACCCCCAAATACACTAGAAATCTCATTGGTATTGTGATTGGTATGGCATTGAATTATAAATTAATTTAGGGAGATGGCATCTATACACTTGATTCTTTCAGTCCAAGAATAAGGTATGGCTTTCCTTTTCTTCAAGTGTTTTACTTTTTGGTGTCTATTAGAATTTAAAGTTTTCTTCATGTAAAACCAGCACGTCTCTTATTTAAAATAGCATCTTTTCTCTGTAGAGGTGTGTGTATGTGTGTGTGTGTGTCTGCATTAGTTTTAAAACCAACCCCTTGCTGGACATGGCATTAAGGACATGTAGGTATATTCCTTCCTGTTGCTTCCACAACACAGAGTGAGTTATCCTTCGTAAAATCCTAGTGACATAGGAACTTTAATCTTGATAGGGATTTACTTGACCATCATCACTGCTCTTCTAGATCAGGTAAGGGTGGCCTCAGAGCAGGACAGAATTGCATGTGATCAGGAAGTTAATATAATGTAATGCTTAAGGTGGCAGGCTCTGAAAGAGACAGCCTCAGTACATGTCCTAGCTTTACTACTCTCCACTCTACATTTTAGTTTCTTCATTTGAAAACTGGTTAATGAACATTGGAGTAAGAACAGTTATCTCATTAGGTTGGTTGTTGAAATCAGCAGAGTAATCTGTGTAGCGCAGCAGTAGAGTACCTGATACACAACAGGTGTTTAAGTTAGATGCTGCTGTTGCTGCCACTGATAATGTTGATGAGCACTGTAATAAACCAAGGTACAAAGGTTGGTAGGAGAATGGGGAAATAAAGCAGTAGATATATGCCATAGACTTCTGATTTTCATTATACTTCAGTTTCTTTTGCAAACTTAATATATAGGGTTTTCGTGTTTTATAAGTAATTTCTAAGGGACTTCTTTTGCTTGTATATATTTTTTAAATGCTTTCATTAAAATCTGGTTTGAATTCAGTACTTAAGCCCAACAAGAAGTGAATATTTATGTATGTGTAAGATCCGTATTGCTGCTATTTGGTATATAAAATAAGGAATCGACTTGTAAACTATTAGAATCAACCTCCATTTTCAAACAGGCTACATGGAAATGATGTTATTGTAAAACTGTCTTGTCCTATGAGCTTGAGTAGATGAGCTATATATTTAAAGCTCTTAGTGTTCCACTTTTGATCTGATAGTACTTTTGTACATTTTATTTTATCTACTCTAGGTTTTGTACTCATATTCAATCGGTTTTGTGTACATTTTATTGGGATTAACATGCACTAGTGGATTAGGCCCTGCAGTGACATTTTGTTCAAAGGTAAATGTTAAACATATTTTTTTTAAATAAACATCTTCAGTTAAATAGTTTTATGTTTCTAATTACCCTGGTTCAAAAAAGTCTATTGTTGATATAATTTGATAACTCCACAAATGTCATATTGCAAATCAGAAATTATTTCAGAAATGATTGATATTTGGATTTATTTTATCCTTGCTCTACCCTATAAGTTAATTTTTAAGTGGTTCATAATATAGAAGTGGAGGATTTTTAATTTCATTATTTTTCCATTGAATCAAAACTAAATAGTTTTGCTTGACTGCATTGTCGAATGGCTTATCATTGCTCAAGAAGTTGATTAAAATCTGAAATTTCATTTCATTTATAATACCTCAGGGTTTGTTTTGTATTCATCTAACAAGCTTATTTATTTGTTGCAGAATCCAATTTGGACCTACGGTTACGCATTCCTTTTTTCCCTTACTGGGTACTTTGGAATCTCTTTTGTCTTGGCATTGATTAAAATTTTTGGTGCACTTCTTGCTGTAACAGGTAGGAGATTATGAAATAAGTATTTGCATTTTCTTTGATAATGTTTTCCAAAAGATAAGAGCAATACTCTCTCTTCATTGAAAAGAAAATGATATTTTACCAGTTTATTCTTTGGCTTCTGCTGTTTCTTTAAAACTTTACAGAAAATGATATTTTATCTTAATTTTCTGTTTTGAAGTTTTAAACTTTTTTTTTAAATTGTTGCTAGAAATTAAACCTAGGGCCTCACCCATGTTAGGCAAGTGCTCTACCCCTGAGCTACACCCCCAGTCTTGAAGGTTTGATTTTTAAGGTCAAAAGTCAGTCTTGAAATACATTAGAAGAACTTGCTGTTCAAGAACAATGGAATGAATACTTTCAAAGAAAATACCTTTGCATGCTTTTAGTTTATTACTGTTCCAGTATTCTTTCTTCTAGAGTGTGACAGGTGCATTTTAAACAAAACTTTTTAGACTTTTCATTTCATACACTTTTTAGGACAGCCACCAGATTCGCTTCGCTCTTCCCTGGTGATAAGTGTGTACTTGCTCTGGGCAGGGACTTTGCTTGGCCCTCTACAGGAATGAAAGTCGCACTTGTTCGGCTTCACAGGAGTCTACAACAGTACAAGCAAAACCCCCATGACTAGGTCTGCCGTGTCATTTCCTAGAACTGTGGGGTGCCTCCCTTGTCTTGATAATGTAGATAGATTTTATCATTTTAATCCCACCACAATGCTAAAAAGTAGGAACTGTATTGTTCCATTTTACACATGATAAACTGAGGCATGGGGAGGTTAAATGACTTGTCTGCTGATCACCTGAAGTCAGGATTCCAGCAAGGCTGCATTCTTCCCCATATGCTATTCTACCTCCTGCCCAGGCTCCTCCTTCTTCCTGTGCTAGCATCCTTCTCTTGCCAGGCAGTGGGATAGAGTGGGAGAAGAGGACATAAACCTTTCTCTTTCTGCAAACCTCCTCAAAAGCTACACTCCTAGAAACAGCGCTACTGCTCACAGACTACTGTACACAGCCTAGTCACCTGTAGGAGGGGCTGGAAGGTATGCCCAGCTGAAAATAGGTGCTCTTCTACTTAAAATTGATATTTGGAATCGGGCCCCAACAGGTTTCCAGAACCACTTACTCATTTAGTGTTCATTTATTCATGCACTGCGTATTCAGTGCCCGGAACTATAGAGCCTGGTGATATACAGACAGATACAGATGAATAAGGTAAAACTGTAAACTGCACAACAGCAGAAACTGAGTGTTGATTGGTAGGTGGTTTTTACTTTGTGTTTTTCCTGGCACATCAGTTCTCTGGCATGTAGTTGGCAGAAAATATTTAGCAAATAAACGATTTCCAAAATATTACTAGGAAAGTAAGCACATTCTAAACCAGTTTTTTGCCCCTACAGTGACAACAGGAAGAAAAGCAATGACCATTGTACTTTCATTTATGTTCTTTGCTAAACCTTTCACATTTCAGTAAGTAATATTTAATTCATTTCTTAATTTTTAGGTACTGTTCCCATTTTCTCTTAATCTTATTTTCAACATTTACTTTTTACAGTATATTACTTTCTATATAAATCAATATATATATGTCTCTGTTGCTTTATAAGAATCCTTTTATCTCGACCTTATATCTATTGATAGGTTTTCTTAGAAATGTTTATAATTTGTTATCTTGAATTTGTTGCTTTCTATGTTTAAAGTGCATAACAAGAGTAATGTTGTTTCCAATAAGAATAAATGTAAGTGATATGTAAACTGTTGAGAATAAGGAATTCCCTTGTGGTCATGTGCAAATATATTAGTCATATATTTACAGGACATGCTTTTAATACTATTTGTTTATATGTGACCACTTTCCACAAAGGATTTGCAGTAAAGAAACATTCTGTGAGTTCTGACCTACTGACTTCATTTTGTTTTGACTTTTTGTAAAAGCATTTACACTTTTCAGAACTATCTGATGTTTGAAGTTGGCATTATTTAAACGTGTTGATTGATAATTATGAAGTTCCAAACCTAAGCTTAGCAATATTTAGGTCAGGGTAGCAATAAAATTCTTATTGCTGTATGGTAGAATATTGATTGTCTACAAATTAATTTCTACATGAGTGAGGTATATGTTATAGTAATTAAATTGCAATGATTGGCCTACTCCCTGAGGGATGTATCATCCTTTTTATCCTTTTATGTTCCACCCAAAAGGGATAACTAGTTGACTAAAAGTTGAATTCCCAAGATGGCCTGTTGTGCATTTACTTATCCACTGTTTTAAGTCTTTGGTAGGGCTTGGACTTAGAGTATACTATTATTCCTTCCCAAAGTGTAAATGAACCTCATTTTCTATAATTTTTGTAAATTATTTATATATATAAATATATTATATATATTTAATGCGTTTTGTAAAATACATTTTATATATATATATATACACACACACCATAAAAGATATGAAGTTATCTTCCATCTAATCTGACCAAAGAATACTATTTTTGTTAATAATGTTTAGATCTCTAATAGCAAAATTTTATTCCATTGAATTGATCATAAATTCTGTTAACAAACTGGTACTTTGTTAATTTTAATAATCTTTCTTCCATTTTCTTGCAGGTATGTGTGGGCTGGCTTGTTAGTTGTCCTTGGCATATTTCTCAATGTGTATAGCAAGAATGTGGATAAAATAAGACTCCCGTCACTATATGATCTGATACACAAGGCAGCAGAGTCGAGAAAGGCAAGGACGTTGGCACAAACTGTATAAGCACTGATTTGTCTTGTTTAAAAAAATAATAAATTTTAAGGGAAAAATCATTACTTGATTAACTTTTCAAAAGAGTGTGATTCAAACCAAAGAACCCGAAGGTGTGCTATCCATTTGTGGACAGATCACATGTGGAGTGGTTTGTGGCGTCAGCCTTTCTTCAGAGCACTTGTTTTACTCTTTGACTTCGAAAGCACTTGAGAGCTGCGTGTGGCACAGCTTACAGTAAGCGTCAGTGTGAGGGGCTGTCCTAGCAGCTTCCTGAGAATCTCACTGACAGTGAACCATGTTGCAAGATAGGTGGGTGTCAGTATGACGTATCGAAGACATTGATATGTAGCAGCACATTGTTTTGTCTTCGTTCTGTTTTGGTGGTGTTATTTAAATTGATTCTCTGTTATAAGAGTAACTTGATGATTTAAGTCTGGAGAGAATAATATTCATTACAAATAAAATTATACTGTGACATTTTTAAAGAATGTGTTAATGGAATTTTATTATAGAGGAAGATGGACAGTAAGCTTAATACGTGCTTTAAAACTTAGGTTTTGTTCTCATAATAGAAGAATATTCTTCTGGGGAAAATGTGGCTTAAGTTTTATGTAGAATATAGGCAAGACAGTATAAGCTGTTACCATCTTGCACCAAGTAAGTATACATCACAAGAATAATTTGCTGTTGTTTACAAAAGAAATACTGAAAGAGTAATGATTTGAATTTTTTCATTGAAGAGAAAGTAATTGATGTCATAAATTATTATCAGATAATATCCTAGTTTTTCTTACAAAAGTGAAATTTAATTTGGAAATTTAAAGATGAGGTAGGGTCAACTTAACGAGATTTAGTATTTTCTCTTAATCCATTCAGGCTGTTACAATAAAATACCATAAACTGGATACTTTACAAACAACCAAAATTTTTTTCTCCTGGTTCTGGGTGCTAGAAAGTCTAAGATGAAGGTGCCAGCCAGTGTGGGATCTGATGAATGCTACTTGCCGTGTCCTTGTGTGGTGGGTCCTAACCCCATTCAGGAGCGTCCTACCTGGTCATCTCCAGTGGCCACCCCCTAATATTGTCACTTTGGAGTTTAGAGTTTCAACACAGCAGTGGGGAAAGGGGATAAACATTCAGACCATCACAAAACTGCTTATGTATTTTTCAGTGTAAATGTAAAGATTTTAACCCTCCTTAGTAGTGATTTTTGGAATTGCTCCCCCTATTTTAAAAAATGTTGCTAATCTTCATCTTCAATATAAATGATAGTGGTCAAAGTCTCAGTAACTGTGCTATTGGAGATGCTTCTATATTATCTGATAATTAGAGTATTTAGTCTCATTCTTAAAATTCCATTGTATTCGGATGGATACTGCACCCTGTTCTATGCATCTGTGGGTACAGCAGATCCTATCTTAATGAAGTTTTCTTTGTTTCCTTTGTTCACATTCTATGGTAATCATTTTTTAATTTTCCATATCTTAAATGGAAGGATTCTTAATTTGTATTTCATTATGCTGCCTGAAATTCGTAAGACTATAGGGATTTGTGCTTTAAAAAAAAAAAAGGAAAAAACTTAACTTTCCCAAATCCTTGATAAGGTACAATTTTCACTTACAAGGCATTCTTTATCTCCACATTTTTCTACTGTTTTACCTATAAACCTCTTAACCAGCTCATCATCCCATTTGCAATTTTAAACAATTTAACAATTTTTTTTTTTAAATCACTATTTGCCAGCTCTACCCTTTATACTCCAGGCCATTAAATTTCACCTCACTTACGTGTAGCCAAGTCTGAAATAATAGAATAATTTCTATGGTGAGGGAAATCAACATTAAACTTCAGGCCAGATTTTATAATATGATCTTTTGTGAAGATTATTTCATCTCAACAAGTGAAATAAGTGAATTGAAAATAATAACTGCAAGCATTGATCTAATAGTGCCAAGCACTATTATAAGTGCTTTACATGCAATAATTTATTTAATCCTCACAGTGTCTGTTTATTGCCATCTCATTTCACAGATGAGAAAGCTGTGGCCAGAAAGGTCAGTGACGCTCCTAGTCCTGCATAGCTGGAAAGTGCCCGAGCTATTGTCCCTCTTGCAGTCTTCTTTCAGACTGGTCTGTGCTCATGTATTGCTTCCTGCTTACATTTCTTGGAAATACAAAGTGAAGAACCAGATTCAGTACTTACTAGTTCCAGATCACACTACTGCATAGTGACAGACTGGATTTCAAATCCAGCTTTATATTTTCTGTCCATTGTATCCCACTATGAACATTTAACTACAGCACTAACCCGAATTAATGTGAAAAGTCCTATGGTTGAAATATTTCCCCACTAAAAGTAAAATGTTGAAATCAGCTATATGGTCACACAGTGGATCTCCCATAAAAGCTCCACACTGAAGCTTGGGGGCTTACCTTGTTGATAAAACATCCCGACGCCGAGAGGGATGCATCTTGGGACTCTGGGTGCTGAGTATGAGCAGCCCTCCCAGACCTTACCATATAGGTCTCTTTTTGACTGCTCTCAATTTCTGTCCTTTACAGTAAAACTGATAGAAAGTAAATTTTGCCTTGAGTTCCAAGTGTTGTTCAGTGAGCTGAACAGGAGAGAATGTGATCTGAAGTGTAGGGTGGCTGGGTACCCTGAGGCTTGCAACTGTTGCCTGCAATGCGGGCAGTCATAGAGATGACACCCTTCTCCCGTGACATCTGTGTAGCCAGGATCAGATTTGCGCTGCAGAGTTCATGCTTTTCAACAGTTGTTAAATGTCAGCATTCTCTGGTATTACCTAATGTTCCTAATTTTTCCAAGTGATCTTTATCTTGAACCCACTTCATTTTCTAGATTTTGAACCTATTTTACTTCTAGATTCTTCCTTGGTCAAAAACAGTATAGGAAGAATCCTAGTAAAATGTGAACCAGGTAATACAGCTTAGCAATACTAAAAATACCTATGCATTACCAAATGACATTTACTCGTAATTACAAGGTTATCAAACTGTCAAGTTGTACATCTTCACCCTCAAAATCTGCTATATGCTTCCTTTCTCATTAAGCATATGACCAGTTTTCCCTGCTATTTGAGCAAAATTGTTTTCCTATTTTTATATATTCTGCTTTTCGTTTGAATGTCATTGTACTTGTCCATTGAGCCAACCATCTTAACTTTTGTTACCAGGATAGGTAGGATCACTAAAATGACTGCTTTTTTATTACAATATCATTAATCCATCCATTGTTACTGGTCCAACTATAAACTAGGTATTACACTAGATTCTAAGGATGCAAAAATAATAACATCAACAATGTACAACCCCCATCTTGAGCCCCAGTCTTGAGATAATTTGCTGATTACTACACAAGAATAGGTAAACTGGGTTGATTTCTTTGCAATCACAGGTTGTCATATTATTAGCCTTCTTTTTTCAGAGTATTTCCCCCATCATTATAGTATGTTTACAGAACATCTGTGAATATCTGAACCCCTTGAAGGATTTTGTTTAAAATCATGGATATTAGCCAGGAGGGTCCTGGTGGGCCTGAGATCTGCGCCAGTGAGCTCCAGGCAAGCTGGTGCTGCCCGTGTGTGGACCACACTTGCAGGATCTAGGTTGGAGGGTACAAACTATCAGATGCTTTCCAGCAGAACAACACTGGAAATTTTATTTTCGCCTGATTTTCTTCCATTTGCATTTCAAACTTCGCATGCTGCCTTTAACCTCTCTGCCTCTCTTTTTAAACTGAAAAGAAACCTTATGTTGTTGGAGTGTTGCTGGCATAAGTGAAAAGAATTCTTTTCATGGCAGGTGTTTGAAAGATTTAATATTCATTATTTCTCCAGAAAGTACCATTTTAAAAGTCTCCTCAAAAATAAGCCCATAACTCCCTCCCAGTCCTGGTCTGTTTTGTTTGTTTGTTTGTTTGTTCTTTAATTTCATGGCATGCAGTTAAAATGCTGTTTGATAGTGATATTATGGAGAAAATATTCCCTTCAGTGGCTTGCTGCTCTTTCAGAGTGAGCTGTGTATTACAGGGTGCTAGGGAAGTAGGCCTTAACACTTAGGGAATCCTTCTGCCACTTGTATCACACAATGTGTTTTATTAAATATGTTAATCCTATGATGCACCCAAATTTCTAAAATGTAATTGAGACCATTTCAATCAGCTTTAGCACAGTTGATAAGATTTAAATAGATAAGTAAATGTGGATAATGATGATAACTATAAGACTTTGGAGTCTCATTATTACAGAGCTCATTCTAGATCTCTAGTTTTGTACTTACTGCCAGTTACAATGAATGCAATAAATAGATGAATTCAGGTGTTAACTGTGCTGCAATTCTGACTCAACAATATATAAGCACTTAGGAATTACTTGGGCATTAATTTTGAAAAACATTTTTGTATATGTAACCAGAAAATACAAAGGCAAGTAATCATCTCTTAGTGTCTGTATTTTAACTGATAATGTTGGTCAGTGATATCTATGCAGAGCAATGCAAAATCCTAAAATCTGAGGACTATTTGGACATTTGGATACCTGTCATAAAGTAACAATATGATTGAAATGTCTGCTCTCAAGAAGGTTTTATCTAAGAGAATGGGCTGGAGGAAATTTACTGGAAAGTATCTACAAATCATAGATAGTTGGCCCCAGGAAGTTAAAAAATGTGTCTGGGGTTTTCATGTAGCAAATGGCAGAATGGACCTGAATCCATTGCATTGAATCTGGATCCTAATGTGCTTATCTGGTAACCCCATATGGTGGAATCTCTTCCCTTCCTGGCCACCACACAAGCTGGTTAGGATTGACAACTTTTCCCAATGTTTATCTTCCCAAGAGGCTTAACACAGCCTTCCTTCTCTGCTCCATTTAAACTGAGGAGACTTTCAAAGGTCTGTTGACAGTACTATCGGTGTATTTACTAACTCACCCAAAAGACTGATCTCTTCAACCAGGCTTTACAAGGATGTACATACAGTGGGGAAAGATGGGATCACCTGCCTACTGTCCATTCGGAGGAGACTACCAGCAGGGAATGAGCACAGCCACGGAGTGGTGTCTGTGGGCGACTGGGGGAGGAACCAGAATCAGGACCCATGAGGATCTGAGTTTTTTTAAATAGGTTACATAGCAGGGGGCCAAGGCAAGTGTAGACAGGACAGAAGTTGTTCCTGGAAATGGAATACCAGGTAGAAGCATTATCACAAAGAAAAAATAAACAATGTAGGCCCCCAAATCAGAAGAAGCAAGGGAATCCGGCTTGTTGAGCTATGCACTCACAGACTTTGTCCTCTCTCCAAAGAGATCCAGGAGGGATTAAACCTGATGCTGGAACAGGAATCAAACAACAGTGGGAAAAAACATTTTTTTAATTTAGGATGAGAGCCAAATCAGAAATTATGTTTAATGATTTTATGTGACACTCCTGTCAGCTGGAAACAGTACCA